GGAAGGGCTTAATTGCTAACTTCTGAAAGGGGCGGGGGGGGGGGGGGGCCTTGCAAGTGCAGGCACGACGAGAGGGGAGCTCCGCGAGGAGAGACGGTCGGGGGGGGGGGGGTTAGGGTTTGGGGGACATAGTCTAGTGGGGGATCCCTCTGGGGGGGGACCTGGTGGCCAGGAGGGGGGTCCCCTTTCCCCCTTTCCCTGGAGGGTGCTGTTCGTCGTGGGGCGTCCCGCGCCGGACTAAGGAAGGAGCCGAACCTCCTTGCAAACTACAGGGTCGACCCCCTCGAAGTGGGGAGGGGAGGGGAGGGGAGGGGGGGCCTGCGTCTGGGTACTTGTGCCTGTGGCTGGGGGGGGAGGGGAGGGGGCAGCTGGCTTCCTCCCCCCACCCTTTGAATGCCGTGGAAGGTTCCCAAATTTTTGCTGTTGCATTGGGGGGGGGTGTCTGGCTGCTGGGCCGGAGCCCCCTCTGCAGACTCGCCCCCAGTCCCAGGGGAGGGGCTGACTGGGAGTGACTTTCCACCCCAGGGGCAACTTCCTTAGGGTGGCCGCCTCTGTCCCCCCCCCCATTTTTGAGAGGGGGTGGGCTGTGGGGAATGAGAGGGCGAATCCTCCCCTTTCAGTGTGTTGGAGTAACATTGGTGTGGACCCCCCCCCCCAAAAAAAAATGTATCTGCTGGGAGTGGGCTGGGGATGAAGGGGGGGCTGGGCTGCTGCTCCCCCCTTCTAAATCCCAAGGGGGGGTTAGTGGTGGTTTTTCTTCATCTCCGGGGGGGGGGAAAGACCCCCAAACTCTGGTGTTCAGTGGGGGGGGGGGTCCCGCTGTAACCACACCCCCAACAACCACAACAACACGGTGAATTGAATAGACAAGGAAGGGGTCCCTCCCCCGCATCCATTTGGGGTCTGCAGGGGGCAGGCCCGAGAGGTTCCCCCAAGTGCAGGTGTGTGTGGGGGGGGAGTGTTGTGTGTCCCACTTTTTCTGTGGGGTGCCTAAAAGTTTGCCTGCCCTCTGTTCCTTTGGCTCGCCCTGAGTTTAGAGTTCTGTGGGGTTGGCCTCCTGCCAGCCTTCCGGGTTAATGGGGGGTAGGTGCCACCCCCCCAAAAAAAGACCTATTTATTCTGTGGGGCCAGTGACCTTATTACCCCCCCCTTAGGTGGCGGAAACAGTTATCACTCTCCCTCTGTATATGGTGGGGTGTTTCTCTTCTTCTCCCCCCCCCCCATGAAGTATTTGGATTCAGGCACTGGGGGGGGGGCATTCGTTCCCTTATCCTGACAGAATAATCTATAGATGGGGAGGGTGTTTCTCCCTCAATTTTCACATGTGGGGCCAAGTTAGGAAGACCCCCCCCCTGCACGGTCCTTGATTGACACCTTCAGTCATGGATGGGGGGGCGCAGTCTCACTCCCTGCCCTCCACTTCGGGGGGGCTGTGCCCCCTCTCTGGAAGACTGGGGGGTCCAACCTACCCCCCCCCACATGGGATTTGGGGACCTCACAGCCTGGACTGGGGGGAGTTGTGAGGGCTAATTTCCCTCCCCCCCCCGTGACTGACTGACTGACCGACTGACCCCTCGGCCAGTGCCACTCCTCCTGGTGTCCCCATCCTCTACTTGCAGCCAATCCTCCCTCTGAGCCAGTGATGGCGAACCTTTTAGAGACCGAGTGCCCAAACTGCGACCCAAAACCCACTTATTTATCACAAAGTGCCAACATGGCAATTTAACCTGAATACTGAGGTTTTACTTTAGAAAAAACAACTCATACATTAACTTAAGATGATGCAAACAAAGTAAGGAAAGCAATCCCAAATGCTTTCATTTACTTAAAATTATCTGGCAGAGAATTCCACAATTTAATGATGGTCTGGGCCTGGCTGGGGCGATGGCAGGCGTACCCGCAGAGAGGGCTCTGAGTGCCACCTCTGGCACCCGTGCCATAGGTTCGCCACCACTGCTCTAAGCGGTGGAGTCTTGTGAACAAAACTTCCACTTTGTGAGCTGCTGGCATTAAGGTTGTGAGTGAGTGATCTGGCTGCTGCATAAATTAGCTTGCTCCAGAGCCCTTCTTCCTGAGCGAAGACAAAAAATGTGTCAGCTGGAGGCTAAAAACCTGTGAGCTAGCTCACACTAACTCAGCTTAGAGGGAACACTGCGCGTGGCTTGGCCTGGTCAGTCAGTGTGGCCTACCCGTGGCAGGCCCAGCTGCCTCTCCAAGGGGTGGGGGCTGTGTTTGTTGTGTTGGGGGGGGTGTCTACTCAGAGAAGTTCCAAGAACCAGTGCTCTCTCTACGCCATGGAGTCTTTCCACTTTGCGAGCTCCTGGCGTTAAAGTTTTGAGTGAGCGATTGGGCTGCTGCTGCAAAAATCAGTTTGCTCCAGAGCCCTCCTTCCTGAGCGGAGACAAACACGTGTGAGCCGGAGGCTAAAAAGCTGCAAGCTGGCTCACACTCACTCCGCTTAGAGGGAACATTGAGTCTGGGTGCCTCTTCCCCCCCCCCTTGGCTTCCTCCTGGGCGCTTTTCCCCCAGGGTGGGGGTGATGTGAATAGCCCCCCTCCTCTGCCCCCCCCACTACCCTTAATGACGGCCTCTTTCTCTCTCCCCTCCCCATCCCCCCCCCCTTGGCAGGCGGGCAGCCAGTGAGGAGGCCAGGCGGCGTCGGTCATGCCCCGGAGGAAGGTGGCGGGGCGGGCCTGGGACGGCGGCGCGGGCAACGGGCCCGGCGGCGGGGCTGCTCGCAAGCGGCCTGCCTCCTCTTCCTCCTCCTCCTCGTCATCATCGTCCTCATCCCGCACCGGGGGGCCCCGTCTGCAGCCGCCCAGGAAGAAGGAGCGCAACGGAGGTGGTGGGGGAGACGGCGGGACTGGGGGTGGGTGGGTGCGGGGCGGGGCGGGAGGTCACAACAGCCCTCCAGAGTAGACCCTCCCACCTCCTCCCTGATGGGGATTTATTGGGGGGGATGGAGAGGGCGCCTTGCGGGTGGACGGGGGATCATGGGGTGCGGAGCGCTGAGCACCCCCCTTCCTTAGGGTGATTCTCCCTCTAAACCGCGGAGTCTTGTGAGCAAAAAATCTACTTTGTGAGCTCCTGGCATGAGCGGGCGATTCAGCTGCTGCAGAAATTAGTTTGTTCCGGAGCCCTCCTCCCTGAGCCGAGATGAAAATGTGTGAGCTGGAGGCTAAAAAACTGTGAGCTGGCTCGCAGCAGCTCAGCTTAGAGAGAACAGTGGTGATGGTGGGGGTCTACTTCTGGGGAGGAAGGGAAGGGAAAGGGATTGCCAGCAAGAAGGGGAGATGCGGGAGGTTGGGAGGAGTGGCAACAGGGGCACGTGGGGGGGTGGCCGAGAACCAGGGATCCCCATTTAGGGGACGGGGTGGAGCCACGTGTCCTGTGCAAGGGGTTGCTGTCAATGCTCCTCCTAAGCCGTGGAGTCTTGTGAGCAGAAATTCTACTTTGTGAGCTCCTGGCCTTAAAGTTGTGAGCAAGCGATTTGGCTGCTGCATGAATTAAGTTTGCTCTGGAGCCCTCCCTTCCTGAGCGGAGACAAAAATCTGTGAGCTGGAGGCTAAAAAACTGTGAGCTACCTCACACTCACTCAGCTTAGAGGGAACACTGGTTGTTATTAGGAGAGTTGTGATTGTGCAGACCCTGGAACACAGACACACTTAGGGTGCGTTCAGACGGGGTGCGTTCAGACGGGGGCTTTACAACGGTATAGGTGCCGGTTCCAACCAGTGTACTTACCGGCGTTCACACGGCGAACATCTGCCTCCCGTCCCTAACCGTTGTAAAGGCCTTTAAACCGTTGCACTCTGCCACTAGGTCCCCAAGTGGTGGTATCCTGAGTGCAACGGTTGCAATCGCTGTACCCCTCCGTCTGATCGCTCTCCACCGGTGCCTAGCCACTTCCGTTCGGAAGCCTGAGGCGTCCAATTTCCCCCCACCATTTTTTTTTCACTAAGCGATATGCGCTTGGGCGAAGCTTTGCCCTGAGCGTTTGTTTAAAAAAAAAATGCCCCTTAGTGTAGCGTATCGGAGGAGTCCGGGACTTAAGGGAGGTCAGTTTGGTCTTTAAACTTTAAAGGTAAGTCCTTACCTTTAAAGTTTAAATGTAATACGGGGTGTTTTGAGCATGCGCAAAGATCGCCATTCTGTGGATGGCTGCCTATGCGCATGCTCAAAGTGAGTTAAAAAAAAAAAGCCGACGCCCGCAGCGTGTGAGCGGGCATACAGCGATGGGATCCGCAAAAGGGAGGTGAGTGTGATCGCGTTTCAGCCGGCATAAACTGCACCGGTTCCAACCGGTACAGTTTATGCCGGCTGAAACGCCGCGTCTGAACGCACCCATGGAGACGCACACTTTTTGAGATGCTGGAATGCAAGGAGCTGCTGGGGGTTTCCAAGGTAGAAGCACCTTGTGAAGAGGTCTCAGGGCTTTATATTGGGGGGGGTGTAATTTGGGGGCAGACCGGAGGAGTGGCTGAACCTCCACTTGAATGCCTGCCTCGGGGTCCAGGAAGGGTCGTGGGTGCTGAGGCCATCCTCCCCACACACTCTCAGGAAGGTGCCCCGTGTTCCTTGGGAGCCCAGAACTGCCTCTGGCCCCTCTCCCTAGTTGTTGGGATTGTTGGTTAGCGGTTTGTTCTAGCTCTGGGGTGCAGTAACATGGGAGAGAACTAGCATTCAGAGCTCTTATCGGAGAAACGGGCTCCTTTTCCGCATCAACTCAGGGAACGGTCGGAGATGGGCCCTGGGAGAACTTGGCTTCTCTCTGCCTCTCTCCTTAGGAGCTGGCGGAAGCCCCCCCCCCCAGTCTGAAGAGGTCCAGGGGAGAGATGCGCATGTCTGGCCTCCCCCCTCCCCCCCTTCCTTCCCGGGCTGCAAGGGAAGTCTTGCTTCTGCATAAAAGACTCCAGACGCATGCACACACCCACCCACCCACCCTCCTTCTCTTTCCACTTGGAGGGGAAGCCGAGCCTCTCTGGGCCGCAGCGGAGCCCTTCATACGGCCCCCCCCCCTGCTCTTCCCCCCCCCCCCCCCCAATCCCTTTTGTCTACCTGCGGACCGGCTTCTCAGGGGGGAAAGGAAGGGGGGGAGCTGAGAGCTGTTGTCTGCTGATTAAGAAGACTGGGCTAATTAAAAGCTCCCCTCTCTGGCCGCCCAGTGGCTGGAGGACCAGGACCACGCCTTGGAGAAACTTTTATTCGCCGGCATGCGAGGCCTGCCAAAGGAGCACACGCCTGTGTGGGACAGCAGGCGCTGTGGTCTGTCTCTCTCTTCGTAATAGGCTATTTCCAAATACAGGTCCGGTTTGTTTAGTTGCACTGTCAGCCGTTTTTTAGCGTAATTGATTGTTCAGTCCTGTGCATGTCTGCTGAGAAGGAATGCGTGAACTCAGTGGGACTTAACTGACTTCTGAAAAGGCCCAGAAGGGGAGGGGGTCCACATGTCTGGAAGTCCTGAGTTCTTTGTTTTTAGAAATATCAGCTGCATTCAAGTTAGTTCATGTGGGGGGGGGGAGGGTTGACCTCATCTTCCCTGACCTGAAAGGGGCCCTCACAGCCATGGCTTGTGCCGCTGAGTCCTAGAACTGAATGCTTATCCTCGTCGACCAGTTGCTGCTCTAAGGGATCATTGCAGGTTAGGCTGAGAGCTGCCCCTCCCACACACACTCTTTCCAGCCAGAATCAGGGCTTGATGACTCTGAACCCAGGACTCCTAGTTTTCAGTCTGTTGTGACACTTACTTTGAGTGTCTGCTCCTAGACGCAGGTTGACCTGACCTGGGAGAGCCAACGTAGGGCCCCCAGCCAGTCTCACGATGGGACTATGTCGTAATGATGAAGCTGGGGAAAGTTCAGTGCTTCCCGTCCAATTCCAGGTCATGGAATACGTGACTTCTGATTCCGGTCCTGCAGAGGCCGGTATCTAATACTGCCTGCAAACACAGCTAGAGATGGCTTTTGCACACTCATTCTGACTCTGTCTGTCTGTCTGACACCCAGAAACTTGAAGGGCCCAAGTTCAAGGGGCAGCTTCTGATATTTGGAGCCACTAACTGGGACTTGATTGGCCGCAAAGAAGTACCCAAGCAGCAAGGTAGGTTTACGGCAGCACAGACCATTTTTGGATTAAATTAGCTGGGTGGGCAAGAAGGGGAAAGTGGGTGTCTTTAGGACATTTTATTAATGGGTAGATCCCACAGGTGTTTGTAGGGCTGAGTTGCTGTCTTAAAGTTTTCCAACACTGCTGGATTTCTATCCATGATTGTGTTTTGTTTTTATACTGTGTCTTTTTACAGAGTTAGTTATAAGCTGACCTTTTGGTCAGGGCTTTTAGACCGATGATAGAAAGACATCGTTTTGCAAGTCATCTCAAACTGTTCTGAGAGATGAGGTAGTAATTAATGATTCAGGTTATAGGGAAGGGGCTGTTGCTTAGTGGAAGAGCCTCTGCTTTGCATACAGATGGTCCCAGGTTCAATCCCCAGCACCTCCAGTTAAATGGACCTGAGTAGACAGTTCTGATGCTTCCTCTAAGCTGTGGAGTCCTGGGAGCAAAAATTCCACTTTGCGAGCTACTGGCACTAAAGTTGTGAGCGAGCCATTTGGCTACTGCATAAATTAGTTTGCTCTGGAGCCCCATCCTTCCTGAGCCAAGACAAAAATGTGTGAGCCGGAGGCTAAAAACCTGTGAGCTGGCTCACACTAACTCAGCTTACACTGGTTCTGACTTTGAAGGACCAAGGGGATGATTCAGTATAATGCAGCTTCATGTGTGACATGGCCTGTATGGGCAAAGGAGGGTGCATGAACAGAGAGTTTGCTGAAGCGTGTGCAAAACTATTTGAGCCAGTGTGACAGACTTGGATTCCCAAGACAGCCATCTCCAAGTTAAATTAGCTCATTGGTCCTTGGTCCAAGGTGGGGACTTGGCTTTTGCTGTTGTGTCTCTCAGTTCTGTAACCTCAGCTGCCCTCTGAGCCTCATTAACATCCAGAGTGAGGTGCAAAGGAGACCATCCTATCTTTGCATCTCTTTCGGCTGCAGTTGGGCCTCATGCAACTGGATGTGCCTCCGTAGAGCAAATTCTGTGCCCATAGAAAACTAGCACGTCAGAGGCACTACTGGTTCTACATCAGCCTTCTCTGACATTTTAGATTTATGGAGGAGCGGGCAGTCTGGTGTGCAGTCGGAACGGACCTAGCACAGCTTCGCCTCCTCTCTGAGGAATGATGTGGAATCTGAAGCTTCCTAAATGGCATCTGAGGATGACCCATCAAGGTCCAGGGCTTGCAGATCTGTGATGCAGGCACTGGCCTTTCATTTTAGGCTATGTTGGACCCTGATTCTTTTCCTTGATCCATTTCATCTCTCACTGCCACAAATGATAACCCAGGTTAACAAACCTCGCAGGTTCGGGGAGAGTACTGTAGATGTCAAGAGACCGCGAGTATTTTGTATGTGAGTTTTATGCTACTAGCAGAACGGATGTTTGAACCTGTAGCTTGCGGAGATGGGTTCGCTGGCTCTTCGAAGCAGACATCTTCCAGGTTTTCTGCCTGGATTAGAATAGAAGGGGAGCCCCCACAGCCAGCGTTGTCCCCTCTCTGCTTTGCTTATCACAGTTCTGACGTTATCCCGGCTCAGGCTGTGCGCCCTTCGCTTGATATCTAGCTGCAGGTCACCTGAGTTCAGCTTCTGCTCTTCAGTAAAACAAAAAGGTAAAGGTTCCCTTGCTTGAAAGCCAGTCGAGTCCGACTCTAGGGTTGCGGTGCTCATCTCCGTTTCCAAGCTGAAGAGCCAGCGCTGTCCGAAGATGTTTCCGTGGTCATGTGGCCGGCATGACTAGACACCAAGGTGCACGGAATGCTGTTACCTTCCCACCAAAGTGGTACCTATTGATCTACTTGCAATTTCTTGCTTTCGAACGGCTAGGTTGGCAGGAGCTGGAACTAGAGATGAGAGCTCACTCCATCATGCGGCACCCGGGTCTCGAACTGCTGAACTACTGACCTTCCACAGCCTGCAGTTCAGCGACTTAACCACTTGAGCCACAAAAGGGGGCAGCAAAAGGCAAAGGCTCAGCGGCAGAGGACATGCTAGGACGTTTTAGGGTCCATCTCGGGTATCTCCGGTTGCCTGCCTCTGGCCTGGGGTCTTGGAGAGCTGCTGTCATCGGAAGGATAACACTGCTGGGCTGTGTGGCCCAGTGGTCAGACTTGGCAGAAGGCCACTCTCGACACTTTACTAGAAGAGCTGGTGAACTATGTGGAGCGTAGCAGAGCAGGGAGGAGGAGGCGCTGGGTGTTTTGGATCCTCTTGGTCACTGACTTCCATATGCCAGCAAAACACGTTTGGTGGCAGTAGTTCTTTAAGGGAGATCGACTGGATCCCCGTTTTGCAGATGGAGGACTGACCCGGCCAGTCTGCAGTGAAGAATTGGGGGGGGGGGGGCCCTGACTGAGTGGCAGAGTGCTTTCTTTACCTGCAGAAGGTTGCAGGTGCAACCTCTGGCTTCTCCCATCCAAAGGATATCTGACAGGTGCTGTTGGAAAAGGTCTGTGTCCACCAGCCACTGGCCTAGATGGGGTGCAGCATAATAATAATAATAATAATATACTTTATTGTCATTGTACACAGTACAACGAAATTAAAGGTGCAATCATTTCAGTGATCTACAGCCATACACATATACACTCACACAACCATTCACAACCATCCCATAACTCCCTTAAGGTTCACATTGCAACCTAAACCACCAATGTCACCCAAATTCCAACTTCATGCAGCATTTAAAGCAATAATAGCTCTCGAATAAAAACTGTTTTTATTCAGCATGCTGCACCCCATCTAGGCCAGTGGCTGGTGGGCACAGACCTTTTCCAACAGCACCTGTCAGAAACAGGTGCCCCCTTCCCACCACCGCTGTCACTCCCTTCTCTCCCACTCGTGGTCCCTTCCCCAGTCCACGTCTGCTGGCAGTGTTGAAAGATAACAACAAAAAGACTCCGCTATAGGGTGCCTGTTAGGTTAGTCACTTCCCTGCATTGTGTGTGTGTGTGGCCTTAGGTAGGAGTTGTATAAACTGTATAATGTAAACCGCTCAGAGCCCTTAGGGGGTGAGTGGTCTATAAATCAAAGGAAATAAATAATAATAAATAATAAATACATCTCTCATTCAGAAACGTGGCTCCTGGGGGGTGAGTTGCCGGCCACTGGCTGCCGTTTCCAGGGGTGGGCCTCAGACTTGGCCGATGCCGTTTTTGACGGAAATAGCTTGGCCTGCCTCTGCCGACTCCCTTGCTCTCTCATGCCATTGCTCCTCTTGCATTGCAGCCGCTTACCGTAACCTGGGCCAGAACTTATGGGGGCCCCACCGGTATGGGTGTCTCTCAGGGATCCAAGTCCGGGCGGTGGTGTCAGGGCCGTGTGCTGCTCACAGCCTCCTGGTTACCTCGGAGGGGAAGCTCTGGAGCTGGGGTGAGTAGAAGAAGGGGCCTTTGGGTTTGTCTCTTCTTCCGCTTTGCATGCAGGAGGTCCAGGGCCGGTCTGTGGCACCTCCACTGTAAAGGACCACAAGTAGCCGGTGTTGGGAACGACTCGGTCTAGAGATCCTGGAGAGCCACAGGGCCAAAAAGAGCAGCGGTTCA